TTTGTTCAGTTACAGAGCTATCAAATAAAAAATCAGACCCCTCTTGCCACACCCACCTGTCACATCCTCTCTTTCATAATTTGTTGATAGTTCTCATTTAAGTTTCATTATATATTACCTATAACCAACAGAAAGCCAAGGTTTTCATCTATCATATGAAGTATTGTATAACGTTGTGTTCTGAACAGATAATCGCCAATTTCACTCAGAGAGCAATCTTCTTCCCATGGGAAAGTTAATGACTAGCTTGGATGAATTTGTAACAGTTCTTGTTGCATAGTTAGAAAGCCAGGAAAATTTTGAGAGTTAAGTGAATTTGTCTACTTTTTGCATGTTATAAGTCTACATTCTTTGGTGAATTAGTTAATTGAATAAAAATTGTTATGTGAATTGCTGTAATTACTATAAAAAACCAGGTTCCTCGACAATCGAGGGCAAGAAAAAAAAGAAGTACTTTATTTCTTGTTTTTCATATTTATTCTTTATTTATTATTATAAAAGTAACTAAACTTATATATATGGATCTTTTTAAGTTATTTAAGACTAGATTAGGTGAAATAAGTAATAATAATAATATAATTAAAATGGTTAACGAGGCAAGCATGCGAGCAGCTCGTGGGTAATGTAATTAGATAGCGAAACATGAGCTGCATGTTCCCCGAGTGATTTATGACTTATAATGGCACGGATAGTAGTTAGACACAGTTCAAAGAGCAATAACACAGTAAAATTTAATTATAAATAGATGTATAATGTTACGAACTTAAAGCTACTTAGGATAAATGAATGTAGTTTCATGTTACAATATGAAGTCATTCTAGAAAGTAAAAAGGTTAATTTAGATTTACTTTGATTTTTTTTTGGGTGGTTACAAGGTTGGTTGAATTACCCGATCCTGTTTTGAGATAGGGTAGAGAAAATAACAGATAAACTATAAAGTTTTAGTGAAAAAATTTTTGAAAATGCATTTAGGAGGTTTTAGGAATTATACAAAGGAAATTTGAGATTTTTGAGATGACAAAAAGTATTTTTAATTTTAACATGAAAATTACTTTGCACATTACTTAAAACAAATACTCAGTATATTCATGGACAAATTATTATTTTATTTTATTAAAAATACTTCACTAAGAAATATGACTTTTTTGTAGGTGAAAGACTTGTAATATTGTTTGTTTTGAATTTAGTGCAAAGCTACATGAGGGCTATCTGCACTAGCCGTCCCTAATTTAGCAGTGTAAGACTAGAGGGAAGGCAGCTAGTCATCACCACCCACCATCAACTCTTGGGCTACTCTTTTACCACGAATAGTGGGATTGACCACCACATTATAACGCCCCCACGGCTAAAAGGGCTAGCATGTTTGGTGTGATGGGGATTCGAACCCACGACCCTCAGATTGCGAGTTGAGCACCCTAACCACCTGGCACTTGTAATATTAACTGAAAGACTGCCAAATTTCATGAAGATATACCCAATATATTGAGAGTTATAAGTATTAAATTTATAAAGACTTTAAATGAATTCAAAAGGTCACGTGATTCGGTCAAAATAACCAACTCTGTGTTGAGAGAGTTAATGTGATTTCCTGCATTAGCTTAAATATAATAAAAATAATTTTTCCAGCCAACGTCTGAGGATTTGTATATAGAAATTAAGGAAAATAATGATTTTAATGTCTCAATTCCTTTAAATAATAGCAAGCAATCTTACGAAAATCAAGTTTCCAAAAGTCTCCTCTTTCCTGCAAATCTGTCATTCCTCCATATACCCACATTGCTGCATCATGAAGGATACTGGTATGATTATGGCGTGGTGGTGGCAGTTCAAACGATCTTGGGAATACATAAAGATGCCACCTTTCCAAGTCTAAGCATAAATTTGAGCATTGTTATAATAAATCATAAACAAATTTCAATACATATTTTCTGAAGTACATAATGCAATTTGTACACGTACTTGAAAACAACAGCAGGCCTCCCAGTGAGCCACTGAGAAAATACTGGTTTTTTTAATGTTCCTTTTTATAAAAATATAGAGCATGTTACGTTTTCACAAATCAAAAAATATATAAATAACTTATATTTTAATAATAATAAATGTGAATTTCTATACTAATCTGTTAAATATCATAAAGAAATCAATTACTTTGTGTGTGATGGCAGAGAATTTACCATGCAAGTTCTGATGTTACTGATTATAATGTCTGAATTATTCTCCTGTATCAACAATGCTGCAAAATCATTATATTTCCTTGAATCTGTATTAGATAATTATAGTAATGTCATTCCCACATTATCTAAAATTTTTCAGAACTGTTTTTGATTAATAATATAGGTTTTTATAGCTTTTTAAAGGCTTCTCGGCCTATTTTGAACAAAAGTAAATGAAGTAAAGATTGTTTTTTTAATATGATTTAAAAGGTTCATTGAGAGGCCTGAAATTTTTGTATGGAGTTATAATCACTTCACACACAGATATATCTAACATGAAAAAAACAACAAAAAACAATAAAATACTTACAACTTTGTGTGTGTGTGTGTGTGGTGTGCTCACATATTATACAAAACTAAACTTTAACACTTTCCAGCCAAGTGGTAGGATTCAACAAATATATATCATCAAAGAAACTAATATCTCATATATTTTTTTCTATACAGTCACTTCAAATATAAAGCATAGTAGCCAATGAACACTTTTTTAAACTATATTTGATTTTTTTATCACTTTAATATTTTTTATTTGATTAAGAACCACTATGTGAAATCATTGATTACTATGCTGTTAAATTATGTGCTTCTAGCCATTGATCAGAAACACCTCTTGTTCTACATAAGTTCTGTCAGAAGTCTTCAACGATATTACTATTTTATTTTTATGTTATTTTACTTATTTCTTAAAAATAATTAAGTATCATAAAGAGAAGCTAGCATTCCACATTTAAACCAAATATTATTTCACTCAATACAGTGAATACCTTCTTCTCCAAGTAATACAACTCATTTAGACTGGCAACAATGATTTTTAGTTGAGAAGACATGATGTAAAGCAATTACTTCAAATATAAGTATCACCAAAGGAATCAATGAAACTGAACTGTAACCTAAATGACAGATAAAAACTGAACAAAGCCAGCTACAATGGGATTATTGATCTTTTGTCCAGGTTTATAAACCAAAACCTTAGATTTTTAAATTTTAGGATTAAAATAAATTTCAAACAGATAGTTACCTTTGAAATACTGAAAGCACTTCCTTGCTGAGTGGCTCACATGCTTTCAACAGCCATGTGACTAAAAAAATATCAGTTTTCTTGATGCAATGCAAATTACGTGTCAACTTGCCCAGAAGTATCCACTTTCCATGTGACTTATTGCACATGCATTAAATAATTTACAAAAACTCTGCTTTCCCACCATAATTCAGATTCTTTAATCACAGTTGTGATGAAAAAATACATATTGCCAGATTGTGGGGAGATGAGTTGAAATGTCTTTCAAAGATAAATACATATTTGAAATTCATTTTGCTCCTAAAAATGTAAAATTAAGATCAGGTTGATGTATCCTTGAAATAATAAATATATATATTACAAGTAGGAAATTAAGAACCTAGACCACACTAAAGATGTGTTCAAACAGAGTTGGAGTAGAATCCAAAATCACAAATATCTGAAGAATTGGATTCAAGGTAGAATGATTAAGCTGACCAGCCTTGTATAAAGACTGGACCAAACAACACTCAGAAAGAAAGCCTTCTTTTCATCAGGGTACCTCTTCGACCTGTACATGTAGTGGAGGAATTTTGGGAGCGGAGACCAGCGAAAATTAATGAGTGGACATAGTTCTGGAGCTTTAGCCCCTTCATCTATAATCTGAAAAGGTCAATGAGTCACAAAACCAGTCCAGTCAGTGGGTGCTGAGAAAGAAAGCCATAAAAGAAGCATAATCATAGAACATAGGTGAGTATACTGAGGAGAAGACAAGACTGAAGATCATGTGGAAGATTCTTCCATAAAACTAATTTGAGAGTCTAAAGTTTGAGACACCACATAAATAAACTAGAAAACTCATTTAAAAGGCCAGAGAAAAGAGAAATGCAAGGTAACTGTAATCTTTGAAAATTTCACCATTTATAAAAACATCAGCCATGACACAAATGCCAGTAGGAAGAAGAAATAAAGATTCCAAAATGGAAATCTGTAATAAGACACCAGAACCTTCAAGTGTGACAGAAATTGACTATGGAATCAAAATGTTACATATCTGGGAAGAGAAACAAATTCAGCAAAAGCTTCATTCTCCTCAGGTGAAGATGAATAAGCCTATGCAAAAAACCAGCTTGTTCACTAAAAAAAAAAAGGCTGATGACCTAACACATTGGCATTCACAATACCTTAATATTTACCAGAGACAACGCAGAGGACTGCATTAATGGCCCAAGTACATTAGTTAATAAATGCCAATAATGAAGCCACAGGAAGTACTTACAAACATGTTGGATTAAAGCTTTAACTGAAGCAGAAGAATTTATAACATTGATAGAAGGATTAATCCTCTTTCCACAGGCACCTTTTTCTGTGAATAGTATGACGTTTTAGTGAGTTACATCCCAAATTTAATTAAATTATTTTTCTTTCATGGTATTCCAATAAATAAGGCATAGAAATGTAGTTAATAATTATATTTTAATAGTATACAAGTTTTAAATTCTTACTTTTATAAGGCAATATTTAAAAAAAAACCTAAAATTTCCTTTAATGTGAAAACTGACAACATTTGCTCTCCAGGCATCCCCTCTTCTCTAATTTATTTACCACCCCTCCAAGAAGCACAAAATTGAATGTAAATTACTTATTATAATATCCTCATCACACAGGCAAAGCATAATTTTCATAGCCTTCAATCTTATTTGGTTACACAGCCATGAAATAGACAACCAGAACCCTTTTGCCGTGCCCACCTGTCACATTCTCTCTTTCAGAAATTGCCTATTGTTCTCTCTGCAGTTCACTTCTATATCATTTATAACCAACAGAAAGCCAAGGTTTCATCTATCAAATGATATATTATATTACATTGCTTCCTCTAAACTGTATCATAATTTTGTCCTTCATTTCAAGTTCGATTCCCATAGAAAACACATCAACAAGCTTAGATGAAGTTTTAATAGCTCTTGTTGCATAGTTAGAAAGCCAGAAAAATTGTGATAGTTATGGGACATTGTCTACTTTTTGCACATTATTAATCTTGTTCTTTGGGGCATTATTTAATAAAATAAAAAATTATTTAGTACAGTACTACCATTATTATAAAAAGTAGGGTTAAGTGCCATTGTAGTCGAGAGCAAAAAAAAAGAAGACCCAGGTAAGTACTTTTTTTCTTGTTTTTCATATGTATTCTTCATTCATTGTTATAAAAGTAACTAAAATGTAAAAATAGGAAACTTTTTACATTAGTTAAGGTTAGATTAGGTGAAACAAATAATAATAATAAAATATTTTTATGTGATAATCTCATGAGTAGCTCATCTGTAATATAATTTGATAGTGTAACATGAGCTGCATGTTTACCAAGTGATTTACAGTTTATAATAATAGTAATTAGACAGGGTTCATAGAGCAATAAAACAATAACATTTAAGTAGAAATACATGTATACTCTTATGAGTGTAAAGCTATTTAGGATAAACAAATGTAGTTTCATATTACAATTTGAAGTCATTTTAAAAAGAAAAAAGAGGGTAATTTAGATTTTAAAAATTTTTTTGGTGGTTACAAGGTCATTCAAATTGAAC